TATTGAATTTTTTAATTTAATAATAAAATAAAGAAAAACTTGCAATTTTTTACTGTCTACACGATCAGAATTATTAAATATAAATGTAATTAATCAATTCAATTTAGTTTTTCTATATTCTACTATTTAATATTAATTGTTAAAATATATCAAAATCTGAATTTTAAATCTAATTTTCAATATTGAGTAGTTGATTAAGTATTAATAAATTTCTATATGATATACTGTATATAATGATAAGATTTGAAAAACTTTTAAAAATAAAAACTTGGAATTATTTTTTAATAAGAAACAATGGATTCACATTTGGGATTGATACTAAATATTAACTAGTTTCAATTATTTGATAATAAAATATATAGTACTGAATTATATAGTATATGTGACTATTGCAAATTTGCTATGCAAAATACAATTTAATCACAAAAATATGTTAATTTTTAGCATATTACTAGGTTTTAGTGAATCAAATTTAGTCAAATAAATCATTACCTTTTTTCAATTATGAACAAATTGATATAACTATAGCAAGGAATTAATTTTGATTCAACTATTGAAAATAAAGAGGAAAAAATAATTCAAGTGGCCTTAATTTTAATTTCATGTGATATTTCTATATCATGAAAAGTATGTAGATACATTTCAGTATTAATGTCATATTATTATTACAAGAAGAATGCCAATTATAAAAATAATTATTACAATTTTGGTGACATGAAGGATATAAATGAATAGTTGATACTGAGAGATTTGACAACATATAAATAAGATTTTATTAAATAGAGGTACTATAATTTAAATATAGTACAAAACTTTTTGTTAGTAAGAATTATATCGGATACTTCAAATTTCTTTACTTATCTTATTTTGATTCAATTTAATATTTAGTTATTGATTCTATGTATTGTCATTTTTTAGATATTCGTAAATAGTTTGTTAAATAAATATGGATCAAAGAAGAAATATTGATAAATAATACATTAGATGAAATACAATTAATGATGAAAATATTTCAAATACTATCAAATATTAATTAAATTTCAAGAAAAGTAAGAAGTGACAAAGGATTTTCAAACTTTATTGCTGATCAGTAAAGAAATTTTTTTACAATATATGTAACTATAGTTCTATAGAAACATCTTTCAAATATGAATTACCAAATTTTAATAAATTTTTCAAGAATTGTTAAAATTTAGTATGTCAAATTTTAAAATAAAATTTATTAAATAAGGCTTATTAAAAATTAGTCACAATAATTAAACCAATAGATCAAAAATATGTGAAAAAAAAATTATTTCAAATCTTTATCTTTCATTACATTTATATGAATACAGTATGATTATAGACTATTGTATATATATTGGTACTTTTTATTTGAGAAAATAAATGATATATTAGATTATTAGGTAGATTTTTAAACAAATTTAACATTTGAAAATAAGATCCTAACAAATTTTTAATCTAGGTTTATTGTCTAATAGTTATCAAAATATTGAACTCAAATTAATATAAAAATTTATAAATGATTATTAAATTATTAATATAACTATGTTTTATCCTAATAATTAAAAACTTGAAATTTTAAATAATCAATTTAATATTGACTCTATTTTTGAACTATATCAGTTTTTAACTGATAAGTTATAATGCTTTTTAAATAACACATATAATATTTATAAAACAATTATCAATAGATCAAAACATTTTCCATATAAACTCTTGCATTTAAAAAAACCAAATTTAGAGATATCTATTAAAATATTAGATCTGTTAATCAAATATTATAAAGTATTTTATAAAACTATAAATTTTCGAAGGCTATTTACAAAAGAAAATAAAAATTTCATAATTATTTAAAATAGAGTAGATCAATATAATAGATACTGAATTGGGTGTGAAATATTTAATTCTGTTATGTTTTTATTAAATATTAAGGACTTATTTATATTAGCTTGATTCATAAATTTCAATAAAAGTATTGATTTATATCTGAGACAAATTCAATTTTTTTTTACATACTATATTTGATAACCTTTCTGAATAATGTTATTGAATATCGATTAACCTTTATTTAGTAATATAAACTGGTTAATTCAGCAGAAAATAGATTTTATTTCAAATCTGAAAATGACATGAATATTGAATTGCAAGTACTCAGTTAGACGTGAATACATAATTTCTATTCATAATATTTTTGATTGATTTATTTCATTTAGATATAGAACCTCAAATTGGCAAGACTCTCATTATATAAATTAAACAATTTTTTACTAATATTTGAAACAAAATTTTTAAAAATTGATTTATTAATAATATAAATTTTATATAAGTAAATATATAAAAAAAATTATTTGATAGTTTTTATTATTTAAAAAAATTAAATTCATTTTTTTATTATATTTTCTTAAATAAACCTATTTATTATATTATAAAGAATATTAAAAAAAATTTTTTTTTTTATATAAATTAAAGGATTTTTTAATTTTTTAACAATAAAAATGTAAAGTTAATTGTATTTAAAAAATATTTTTTTTATTTTGTTCAATTGATTTTTTTATTTTGAATAAGAATCTATATTTTAAATAATAATTTTATTATATAAATTTAAAAATTTTTTTGATGTTTTTAAATATATAGTTGCTTCCAAAAGGTTGGATCCACTTATTATGTTTTTATTATAAATTTCAACTTTGAAAATTTTAAATCCTTAATTATACAATCAAAAATTATAAAATTCATATATATTATATCTTAATACTAGTTTTATTTATTATATTTTTTAAAAAAATTTTGGATATATAATTTTAAAAGTTTTATTATTGCTAAAAAAAATTTTTTTTTATCAAATTTTTACTTTTGGAGAATTTTGATTGGCTATTATCATAAATCATATGACAATTAATAAAAAAATAAGGATATTTAACAATAATAAAAATTTAGAATGTACTAATAAAAATTTTTTTAAAAAAATAAAAGAAATAAAATAAGTATTAAAACATATTATATATAAATTTTATAATTTTTGACTGCATAGTTAATGATTTAAAAATTGTCAAAGTTGAAATTTATAATAAAAAGATAGTAAGTGGACTCAAACTTTTGGAAGCAACCGTATATTCTTAAAATATATATATCAAATAATTCTATAAAAACTTTTATATATAATAGGAAACAAAAAAATTTGTCTTTTTTCAAATATATTTAATTTAATAAAGAATTATCTAAATTAAACCAAACTTAAAATATAAATACTTAAATACTTAAAAATTAATTTTACTTAAAACTATTTTATAACTTTTATTATTATTATGATTTTATATCTTTATTTTAATTAAAAAATTTTATATTAAACACAAATTTTACAAACTAATATATAGTTTTATGTATAATTTGTTATAAAATAATATATAACTTATAATATTATATAAAATTTTAAAAAAAATTAAAAATAATAATATTAAATAAATATAAATTATTTTAATTAAAAATTATTTTATAAAACTAAAATAAATTATAATAAAATTTTTGATTTTTTAAAAAATTTAGGCAATTTTTTTTGTCCCTTACTGTATAATAAAAGATAACCATTTTTTTATAATTTTTATACCGATTTTTTTTTATTTTTATATTAACATTATATACTGTACGTACAGCATATCTAAATTTAATTTACCCTTCCTAAAAAATATTACCCATGTACAAGAAATTAATTTAGCAATCAACGTTGACCTTGAACACAAATAATCTAAATTGACCTTAAACACTTGTTGAAACCGCAAACCAAAACATTTTGATTATCAATAAAAAGAAACACAGTATTTGGCAATCCATAATTCGTTTGAATGATTCTACACAAACGATGAGTCCGGTATGGATTTTTATGCTACGCTTTATCATGTAAATAAACGCATTGACTTATATACGGCGGACGTAAATTTGAGTTTCATGGAGGATAGAAATTAATACTTGACACACACTTGACGGCGGATATTTTATCAACAAAAAAAAAAATTTTTTTTTTTTTTCTTTTTTATTAGTCGATTATTGTAAAATCATATGCGCATTTATTGTTGAGAGTGTAAATGAAAGTGACACTTTATTAATTATTACACTTTGATAAAGAACCACAAAACTACCAAGTCGCATGTATAGAGGATTTAATTCACAAAAATTTCAACAACTTGTCCGGATAATGATAATGACAAACCAAACATTAATTTCAACGTAGTGAATTCGGTGTGACACCGAACCAAGGTCACGTGATAGACATGATCTTGCCAATTGTTTTAAACCTTTTTACCTCGGAAGGGTAAAGTGCGTGAGATGCAATTGGGATCATCAAGACTTCTCATAACCCGGTAAATTTAAACATGATTTTCACACTTTACACTCATGAAATGACTGCGAGACTTGATGCGAGAACCCACCGATTCACGTGAATTGAGGTACAGTATGTGATTTTCATTGTACGCGAGTTTTATAAATTCGGTGTTACATTCATTATATTTAATTGACAAATCGAGGGCAAAAGAAATCGGGTTACAACACAAAGACACAAACTTATTAATTATTTACTAGTTATATATTTCAAATGTGTGGCATGTCAGTTGGTCAGACCCTATTCTCCCTTTCCCTTTATCCTACCTCACGCTAGTTCCTCCAAACCTTATACCACATTCGTTTCATAACATACAAATCTTCATGTCCATATCGACATAACATTGTATAAAGGAAGCCGGACTTTTTTTTTTTTTCTTTTGTTACCCACCTTCACCTTATTCCGTAGACCGGTTGTTAGAACCTCTAATATGACTCCCCGATTTTCGATACCGATAAGACTTTCATCAATAATAATATTAACCATCATTCTCTCCTCGCCTTTTTTCACATCACCCTCCTTGGGGAAAAAAGCACACCCTAGATGTTATGACTACCCGAACCCCACAAATCGATCCCATAAAGTTGCAACAGATTGCCCCATAATAGTAGAATCGCCTATGATGAATGGATTTTCTGAATTGCAAGAGAGTTCAACAAATGCATCAAATATGTTCGTGATTCATTTCACGTGCGGCATAAAAAATTCGTCATTATGTGCAAAGGTGAATGCTGCTCTTGAGGAGGCGGGTAACATAATATCTTCTACGCTGACGTTGAACACACCGATAAATTTGAATGCAAGCTTCCTCGATTTCTGCAAGAATTTTGGAAAGTGCGGTGGGTCCGGGTTGGTAATGCTAGGTAATAATCTCATTGATGACATGAGCGATGCCAGGGAGTGAGAATGTGAGTATATCAATTCTGATGGGGAATTTTTTTTTTTCTTAGGGGGGGCGACGCCTGCACGTACAATACCTCTGCAAGACGACGATGGGCTTGTGAGATTATACCCACAAGCGTTGGTCAAACAATTTCAATACCAACATCATCCCCAGTTCAGTCCCTTCGACATCACCGCGATGTTTAATTCTGCAGGATCGAATTATTGGTTTCAAGGTGATCCGCCCATATGTCCCGATCAACAAGACTTCCTCTACGTGGTTCTACACGAAATCATACATGGGCTAGGTTTCGCTTCGAGCTGGCAAGATTATATAAATAATGTTCCCGAGGCCTTGACCCCTGATATATCCATCTCGTCAACTGATGATTCGTCCAAATGCACATTTTCGTTCGACGGATTTCTGGAATCGGCATTCGACAAATACTTAGTAATCTTACCGACTGGCCAAAGGACTTCGGCGATAACCGGGGAGTTAAATCAATTTGCGAGCAAAAATGAAAAGTTCACGAACGTTCAAGAAATATACACGAAGTTCAAATCTTCGAGTCAATATAATTTGGCACTGGAAATGATGAACAATTCGGTGACGCCCTTGACCCTCGGGTTTTTGCCAACGGGAGGAACTAAATCGAGTGATTGTATAGTCCTCGAGACTAGCCTGCATCCTTACGAGCAGGGGTCCAGCGTGAGTCACGTGAGCATAGTGACATATAATTCCACGTCCGACTTCTTGATGACGTACTTGGCACAGCGCGGACAAAATATGAGTTCACTGATAGATTCCCATGGGAATTATAAGAGTCCCATCGGACCGGAATTATTACTATTTTTCAACACCATAGGGTTAGTTGAAGTGGAATCTTTTGCCATCGTTTGATCGGTTGACTTATAATATTCTCTCTTCTCTGTTTAGATATTCGAGTCCAGGCTATTCAAATACATACAAGCCAAGTGTCACCACCTCCGCAAACCAATCATTCAATCCAAATGTTAGTAAAAACGTTTCCCCTAACCTACCTAACGAAAACGCTACTCCCACAATCACCGCCGCCGCCAACGTCACCACCACCACGTCAAGTTCTACGATGATTAGAATACCGAAATACACAATTATTTTATTTAATCTCATAGTTTGTTCCTTTTTAGTGGTATTAAAACATGTTCCTGAGACGGGCAAATATTGATATATACAGTATATATATATATATATATATATATATATATATATATATATATATATATATAAAAGGAACGGAAAAAATAATATTTTGCATTTAACAGTGCTCTTTTACTTATACAGTACATAGTAAATAAAAAAATCGCAAACAATAGATTTGCTGTAATCACGTGTTGACATTGTTGATACCATATACAGTATTTATTTATTAATCATTTTATTGACGAAGTTCTTACAGGAAAAGTCTAATAAGAAGAATTATCTGAGAAGTATAATTTTGTATGCTAGATTGATCGATGTTGGTAGTGCAACAGAGAGTATGCAAAACCATATGTAATTTGACCAACTTTCAGCAATAGAATTTTTTCTTTCCTCTGACAAACAACAGTATATAATACTGGATAGAAAGAAGGGGTGGTGTGTTGTAAGAAAAAAAAAGCGAAAGATGTTGAGTCAAACTTTGCACTATTGTCTACGGATACAAGCTTAACGTGATAAACTTGACTAAGACCCATCATATATCCAGTCGATAGTGATCAATTAGCTGTAAATCATCGTTTAAACCGTTTCCCTCATCAACACCAGTGCTCTCTCGCGATTAATGTGCTAGCTCTATCCAAAATGATGAACCCGAAGGAGAAAGAGGGCGCACCACTCTTCCTCCCCATACATCTGCTCAACACCACACCTGGTTGCGAGTCAGGCAACAAGGGCCCGTCACGTTAACCAAATGTCAAGAAAAAAAAACATGGGCGGATTTAACCGGAGAAAAACTAACTAAAAAAAAAAAAAAAAGGAAAGAAAGAAACAAAATATCGATAATAAAAAGGGTGTCGTCTAATATTTACGCGTAGCGGATACGGAGTTACGTGGTGTGAAAAGGATTTGCGAAGGATTGACGAAGGGAGCCTTGAAGTGAATGTGTGCGTTCAACCAAATACCAAAAACAAAATCCTCCTTCGCTGAAAATAGCGACAAGAAAAATAACGGCAACACATACTTACAGGGTCTGTCAAAAGGATGAAATTATTGAACTGTCTTGGTCGACCTGCCGCTGCATTTATATAAGGTGTCGTTCGACATACTTACGTGTGAAGATCTTCATTTTGGGCTTACTCTTGTGGGAAAAAAATATTTACATTTCAGCCGCGGTTTCACTTGCATAATAGGTTCGGACTGACAAAAAAAAAAAAAATATGACAAACCTTCTAATTAAGGCTACCCTACCGTGCGAAAATAGCTGCGTGATTAGACACGTCACATAGTCTGAGGTACGTGCGCATGTGAAAAAATCGTGGCACAACAAACTCCCATCTGAACCAAGTCCTGGACGTGGTCTACGCCAGTCTCTTTTTTTAAGTTCAGTTCAGAACAAAGATCCCCTTAAATCATGCTAACGTAAACCCTTTGACCAATTATAAACTTTTTCATATGCGATTTGTGTCTCATTCTTGAACCCGGTTCACAATAGCACTAGCTCTAAACCTAAATTATTGAAATCATTGTTGCTTGAATAGTGAATAATAAATGCCGATTAAATAAAGTAATTCAAATAAAATAAACATAATAGATTATTCTCGATATAAAAAAATCTCCAGGATAATACGTTTAAAACATTTAACATTAAACAGATCATTTATTATTATTTTAATTTACCAAAATTTTATATTAAACCTATTATTATTAATTATTATTATCATTATAATTTTGAATTTTTTTTTAAAAAAAAAAAATTTTTTATTTTTAATTTAAAATTTAATAATACGATTAAAAAAAAAAATTTTTTTTTTATTATATATTTGATCTTTTATTTTAGTTTATTATATATTATCAAAATATTAGCAAAATTTTTTATAAAATTATTAAAATTATTATTTTATAAAAATAAATTAATTGTTTATTTTTTTTATAATATTTTCAATTAAATCATTTTAAAATTTTTTATAAAGAACTTATTCTTTAGAAAACAATTTGAAAAATATTTTTAAATATAAATTATATTATTTTTTTCTTATTAGAGATTTTTACATAAAAACTTAACTTTAATAATTAAAAGAAAAATAAAATATTTTTTTTATTTATAATAAAAAAGTTTTTTTAAAAAAAAACTTGATAATATAATATTAAAGTAAATTTATAATCAATTTTATAATAAATAAATAAAAATTTTAAATTTAAAACCTTTTATATTTAATTTTTTTGATTTTTTTCACAATTGATTTTTTTTTTTTTTTGATTTTATAAAAAAATTTGTTTATTTAATTTATAATTTTAAAAATAATAATAAAATTAATTAATCAATATAAAATATATTAATGATAAAATAGAAATAAATTTTTATTAAAAACGTTTTTTGTTGATTCTTTGATAATAAGAAATTTTATACTTTTATATTAATAAAATCCTATTACTTTTTCTTAATAAATCTTAAAAATAATTTAAAATTTCTTTTTTTTTATTTTTTTTTTAAACAGAAATTTAATCTTTAATAATTAAAAAATATTAAAAATATTTTTTTATCTACTATATAACAAAAAAATTTTTAAAAAGAAAAAAAATCTATACTATAATACAATACTTAAAATCTATCTTTTGAAATAAAGATATATATAGAAAATTTATATAATAAAAAAAGTAAACATAAACTTAAACCTTGAAAACTTTTTTATTTATTATTTTTATCTTTTTATAATTATTCATTTTTTAAATTTTTTTTATTTCTCAATTTGATTTCTAATTTTGAAATAATATAAATTAATATAATTTTTATTAAAGATAATGAATTAATATAAAATTTTTTAATAATAAAATATAAATAAACTTTATGAATTATAATATAATATTATTGATAAAAATAAAATTAATTTGTATTTATTTTTATTTGCTTTTTCAATTAAATTAATTTATATTATAAGTTTTATATAATTAATAAAATTTAAGCAATAAGTTTATAATTAATAAAAAGATAATATTTATTTAGTTCAAAATCTTTTTATTTTCATTATTCTAGTTAAATAAAGTTTTAATAATAACTTTTATCTTATCTCAATTAAACTTTATAATAATAAGGTTTTCAAGTTATATAAAGATTTCTAAAAATCAAAGTTTTAATAAATAATATAGTCAAAAAATTAAATCAAAATAGATAAGTTTCTTAAATAATTATAAAAAAAAAAATATTATAATAAAATATTCTTTATTGAAAAAAGATTATAAAAAATAGATTTTTTAAAAAACCCAAATATTTATTTTTTTGTATTTTTAAAATTTCTTTTTTTTTTTTAATTCAATTTCTTTGGTATTTCAATAACTTAATAAGATATATAATAGTATTGATCTAAAATCAATTATATACACTCTTCTTACTAATCCTTTAATCACATATTAAAAGAATATTTATAAAAAATTTTATATTTCTCTATTAATAAAATCTTTACATTCTTCTTAATTTAATATAAAAATTTAATTTTTAAAATTTTTTTATTATCTTATTTTATTTATAACTTTTTTTTATCAAAAGTTTAAATTTCTAGTAGTCTTTATTTTATTTTATTTTTTTTTTTAAACCCTCTGTCAGGCTAGGTATGTGTGCTTTATTAAATATATGTATACTTTACATTAAAAATGTAT